GTGACACAAACAAAAAAAGAAAACAATATTAAGGACTGAAAGGGGGATTTAATTACAAATGCAATATAGATATTTAAAAATCATAAGAGGCTTCTAGTCACAATGGTGAAATGTCACAAGCTGCTGTCTGTCTCTCTCAACACATACTAATAATCCACTTAAAGTGTACAATTCAATAAAGCTGTTGAAAAATGTTGTTTTTAGAATATTTTCTGTTATTGCCCTAGGTAGGGATCAGCAGTAAATCATTTAAGACTATGATATCAAATATATTTATTATATGCATCCAATATCAGAGGACAGGAACTTCTTTATAGTGGGGATAATTCTACAATTAAGTTTTGTTAATAAAACTAAATTCTAACAGTTTGGTAATTCACTATTTGAAATGTTTTATCCCTGGTGAAGATTAACTAAAACAAGAGCTAAATTTTAGTGTCTGAAATTAGGGTTATAATTATTTCCTAATACAATAGTTGGCCCTCCATATCTGCAGATTCAACCAACCATGGATGGAAAATATTCAAAAAAATAAAAGATAATACAACAATAAAAATAATACTAATTTAAAAAACAATACAGTATAACAGCTATTTACATGGCATTTGCATTGTGTTAAATATACATAATCTAGAGATGATATAAAGTATATGGGAGGATGTGCATAGTTTATATGCAGATATTGCCATTTTATATTAGGGACTTGAGCATCCTCAGATTTTGGTATCCTTGAGGAGTCCTGGAACCAATCCCCTGTGGATAATGAGGGACGACTATATAAAGAAAACTTTGGAAAGTGCTAATTAAGTAATGTTTTCACTCCACCTTGTTGCAATGTTTTCTTTTAGGCTGATTCCATCAAAAATGGCGTCCAGCTTCTTTCCAGAGCCTATACTATTGATCCTAGCAATCCTATGGTATTGAACCACTTGGCAAATCACTTTTTCTTTAAAAAGGTAGGAGAAGTCATTTGTCTTTAAATCTTGATTTTCATTTTTTTGTACTGCAGTTGATACTTTATATTTTTTTAACTTGGAAAGAAATTTGAAAATGTCACAGGTTTTTTTTTTTCCCATCTAGATTCGAGTTTGTATTAGTTATCTGAGGGTGGGTACATTCATTCATTCATTCATTCACTTGTTATTTACTGACCCTTTATATGGTACCCAACACTGCAATAGGGATGTGGAGATGAGGAAGACATGATTTCTGCACTCAAGGAATTCAGTTCCATAGAAAACATAGACATGTAAACAAATATAAATGTAAAAATAAAGGTCTCTACCCAATTATGGCAGAGAAATGAGGAAGTGGGCAGGTGGTTAAAGAGAGTTTTCACCAAGACAGAGCTCTTTAACTAGGTTTTTAGGAGGTTACTAGGTAATTGAAAAAGGAAAGGCATAGATCTGTGAAAAAGCCTTAGCAGTTTGGTTTAGTAAAAACATAACATATGGTGGCCTTATGAAAGCCAGTACATTGGATCCAGATAGTGGGGCACTTGTGAAATATTAAGAATTTGGATATACTTATGTAGGCAACAAGGAGTCATTGACTTTTTTTTTTTTTTTTTTTTTTAAAGATGACCAGTAAGGGGAT